CCCACCCCTACCCCGCAGGTTAACATGATTTATTCGTCAAGTTTGCTGACTCGCACGAGTGGTGGCAGTGAGCCGCGACAAATGGACGTATTTCTGCCGAACGGATCTATGTGCATTGAGACATGAGCCCTGGGACACATAAGCATACAAGCGTAACGGGGCTCATGTCATAATGCACATAGTGCCGTTTGGAGGAAGTACGTCCAAATGAAACTTAATTCGCAGTTGTGTCGTTAGAGAGCGCTGTCTGACTGGAGCGGAGGGTACACGCTCCGAAAAAGAAAATTGATCCGAGATGTATAAACCGAGGGTTGAGAATGGGCCTGTTGCAAACTTCGGCTATCGCAAAAAGAAGAGTGTACGGTACAGAAAAGGGCCAGAGATCCGATGTCTAAGGATTTATCCCCAGATCTAGGGATTTTCCGGAAATTCTGGGGATCTGGGGATTTTTTTGACGAGGGGTTGTTTCTGGAGGGAAAAACGAGAAAATCAGTGAAACAACTTTTAAAATCTCAAATTGCTGTATGAACGGAGTTACGAGCTTATAAAGTTTCCAAATCTCATTCGATCTCTCTTACTGACTCGATACACTGTGTGGCGTACACTGAAAAAAAAATTCTCGGCGTTTTTACCAAGGTCCGTTGGCACCTTTACCATCTCACTTTTTTTTACCGATTGTTGGTAATTTTACCAAGATAGACTGGTAAGCTTACCTAAAAACCGGTATTTTTACTGTTTTTTTTTTTCAGGTAAGAATGAAGAATGAATGGTAAGAATTTTTCTTTTATTGGTAATCGATTCCCGGTAACTTTGCCGTTTTGTCTCGGTAATTGTACAACAGTCTATAAAAAATATTGGCGGTTTTACTAAGGTCTAGTAAAATTACCGAGAAAGTTCAAAAATTTTACCGAGATTTCTCGGTCAAATTACCAATTCCATAAATTGTAATTTTACCAAGAAAAAATTGGGATCAAATGGACCGCGTTAAACAGAAAGGAACCAAGCCACATCAGCTATTGCCACATTTAATTGGGCAATTTAATTTTTTACATGAAACAGTTGTGCAGATTTTCGTGCAAAGTTCAGTGAAAATTTTCCATGGTAGGAAGCAAATTCCTTAAAATTTTCAAAGAAATCCAAACAAACGTTCTCTCGTAAAAAATGTAATCGCCCAGTTAAACTTGGCAATGGCTGATGTGGCTTGGTTCCTTTCTGTTAAACTCTGTCCAAATAGAACCCTGAATTCTTGGTAATTTTACCCTTTCCTTAGTAAATACGCCGAGATTTTTTTTTCAGCGTAGCAAAATATATCTGCTGAACGGAAAAATCCCTCGCCAATTTCCATGAATGCAAACTCTATTAGTCCATCAAGCACCGCGTGACATCGATCGTGACACCAAACAACTGCTCACCCGCTCGAGCGTCGTGCCGGGCCGTGCGCCTCACTGCTCCGACGCGCCGTTGCCAAATCTACGGATTCGTCGATTTTCCCGGGGAGAGAAACTCGAGTTTTCCGCACAATCCGGCAGCCATGGGCCCTTAATCTCCTTCCGCAACATTTTTTAATCAATTCCCCGCGCCGCTGCCCGAGAAGTGAATGAAGTTTAATTCGGTTTCAATTTATCGCGAATAATTGCGAGTTTTTAAACTGAAGCTTTCCCCTCCCGAGCGCGAGGGCTATTCCGCCGTGCTAAGGAAGAACGTCGTATCAACATTCGAGAGTTGCCAAATTTCCTTCCATAAAATGTTCATTTTTTAGGTAAGTTATGAATATTTTTCCCTGAAATTTTCAAGATCTTTAGATGAAATTGCGAACAAAATTACCTGAAAAATCCAAAGAAAAATATTCATAAATATACCAGGAAATTGATGTTTTATCGAAGGGAATTTGGCAACGCCTAAAGGTTCATACGTCGCTTTTCCTTAGCACGGCAGATTACTCCCTTTCGGTGGGGATGAAAGCCCGTCATTTTCCGGGAAAAAATGACGCGAAAAACGAGATTTTTATTTGTGAAAGGACCTGTTTCGTTTGACTTCGGGTTGTATTTTTCTCCGCGGAAAAGCGAACGCACTTCTCGCAATGCTCATTAATGAGTGAGCTAATGATAATCTCTGTCGACTCGATCGGAGTGAAAGATTAAACCCACACTGGAATGAGCCTTTGTACTGGACGGATTTAGCCAATAAGTATTTTATTTTCTGTGAGAGTGGCTTGAAAGCTGTCAGATGAGTTCGATTCAAAAATCGCTGTGTTGCACCGATGAAGTGAAAAATAACCGTAATTTATTTCTTCGTTTGTTCGGCACGGATTCACGCATTATTATCGAAAGTTGCAAGTAGCCGAGAACAGACAAATAAATTTAAAAAAATAATTTGGTATTCTTTCATATCACTCTTGTTTTTCTCCTGTTCAATGAGAATAAATCTATATACATGGCTTTTCTATGAGTGTGGCCAGTGTTCGAAACTCACAGGCGCCAACGCGCCAAGTGCGCCTAAAAAATGAAGGCTCTGCGCCAACGTGGCCCCTAAAAATTTCCCCCTAAAAATCTGAATTTTCATATTATGTCTGATTATTCCAAATTTTCAGCAACACAAGTGAAAGCTTTTTCTATTTATCACGATTTCATCACTTGCGCTTTTGTCTTCCCCAAGTTACAACCACTTACTAGTTCTGTTACGAAAACAGCTTGCCTCTAACTTTTCACTAAATGCGCCGTAACATACAGGCAAAAAGTCAATTTGGCCCCTAAAAAGTCTTCAGTGGCGCATAAAAATCGGGCTTGATGCGCCACTTGGCTCCTAAAACTCAAAGGTGAGCTTCGATCACTGGACGTGGCACTACAGCGTCTATGGGATTCGATTCGATGGAAGCAACGCAAAATGGTTGGAGCGGCAATCTTCTCATCCGCGTTAACACTACACGATGTAATTACGGTTGCCGTAATTGACCGCGGGTCGCGGGTCCTTCCAATCAAGCCGCCGGTCTTATCTTGTAACACTAATTGGCGAATCGATGGAACAGCGCAAGTGATTACGGCCGCCGCGCCGCGACAAACCTCCCTTTCATCGACACACTGCTTCACACGGTCCGGGTGAAAAAATATAGGATTGTTGGAAGAAAGGTGACGGGGAAAAAATGGATATTAGGCCCTATCTCCGGTCTGATTGTTGTGATTTTGTGTTCGGAGACTGGAAAACATAAGAGGAATAAATCCCAAAACCCACTCGGAGTTCGCGATTCTTCCATGAAACACTGACTTAATAAATGGACCGCGTTGGACAGAAAGGAACCAAGCCACATCAGCTATTGCCAAATTCAATCGGGCAAATTAATTTTTTACAAGAAAACGGTTGGGCGGATTTTCGTGCAAATTTCAGTGAATTTTCTCCATAGTACGAAGCAAATTCGTTAAAATTTTCAAAGGAATCCGCACAAACGTTCTCTCATAAAAAATTTACTTACCCAGTTAAATTTGGCAATAGCTGATGTGGCTTGGTTCCTTTCTGTTAAACAAGGTCTAAATGTCATTTGGTTCACTCTTTCGGCGAACAGGAAGCTATGATTGCACCGTTCAAGGATTGCCTACAGGGACGCTCTAGTACATAGTGGCTTTTTTTTGAACTCTACGATTTTGACAAGTCATTGTCCATACTCTCCCCATACCAAGGTAATGGAAACGTAGGTATACCCTCCCCTCTCCCCGACCCTTTCCAACTGAGCACAGAGGAGAATTTCATGAGCCGCCCTGCGCCTACGTTATGTTTTCCTTTAATACATTTTTCCCCCCATCAAATTAAATGAGAATAATCCATGCAGAGTATGCAAACATTTCAAAATCATGAGTTGAAAAACACGGACTCCGCGAGTTAGAAAATTAGAGCCTAAAACAGAGCGGAGCGGCGTGCTGCTGGCGCGTAACACGCATCGACGCCTACAAACCTAACAGGGATACTTCACGCATTGCGCAATGCTTGAAGTATCCTCTTAGGTTTGTAGGCGTCGGTACGTGTTTCGAGCTGACAGCACGCCGGGCCGCAGCGTGCCGTAAACTTGCCCACAATTTATACGTCAGGGTGCTAAAATGTAGGCAATTTGACATCAAATTCGAAATTAGCGACTCAAAAAACAGCTGTTGCGGAGCTTTCGTGATCTTTCAGTCAATATCCGACTTAAGTCTTCCTATTCTTGAGTTTTGGACCATAGTGCGCGCCGCGGCTTCATGTTGGCTCATGTTTTTGTGTTCGTAGACTGGGAAACATAAGAGGAATAAATCCCAAAAACCACTCGCAGTTCAATAACTCAAACCCTTTCTAAAAAGCAAATGAAGGGGATTTGACAAATTTTCCCTGACATTTTCGTCATTTCCCCTAACATTTCCCGGTTTTCCCATACTTTTTAAAATTCTCTGACATTTCCCGGTTTCCTCTGACTGTGGCAACGCACAGGGAAAAAAAGAATCTTAAATTTGCCGCCAAGAATTATTTCTTCTTAAATCGAGAATTTTTCAGGTTAATATAAGCTACTTTTTTGCTTGACCCAAGCATTATTTTTCTTGTATCAAGAAAAAGTCAGCTTAAAGCAAGAAAAAAAATTCTTGGCGGCAAATTCAAGAATCATCATGCTTGATCCAACCTACTTTTTTTTTCAGTGCACTGCGAAATGTGCTTAACAACACGCAACAAAGCTACGAAAAACGTGCAAAAACCTCACCTGTTTTACACTGGGCTCCGGACTTGGTATAGGGGCACTGACATCGTTCCAATCCGGGATAACTGGAGGCGTCCGAGTTGACGATACACGTTCCCTTGGGCCCGCAGTCCAAGGAGCACTCCGGCGCACTCGTCGACGTCGCAACCCCAACCGCCTCGGTGGCCCCGGCCGAGGGCTCCTCCCCGGGGACCTTCTGCTCCAAGTTGGGCCCCGGCGTCGTGGGGCCCCCCGCTCTGCTCTTGAACTTGATCTTGGGCGTCTCGGCGACCCGCGAGTCGTTGCCCGGCCCCGCGGGTCTGCTGATCTGGTTCGTGGCGAGCGAGTGGGCGTGGGCCCAGTCCCGGGAGTGCGGGGAGGAGGGCGAGGTGGAGGTGTTGGGCCCCGAGGGCTCGAGCACCGCCGAGAACATGGCCCCGCGCTCGTAGAGGATGTCCTCGCCCAGCGAGTCCTCCCGCGAGTTGAACGTCGCGCCCAGCTGCAGGTCTTCGTGGCCCGGTAGTGGCTCTAGCGTCGAGTTCAGCTCTGAAACAGACACCGGAATCCAGGATTAGACAAACTTTACAGAAACAAGTGTAGAGTATAGTGTGATATATGTAGTGTAAGTGTAAGCTTATATTCATGGTCGTTCCTTAAGGTGATTCGACGGTAGCCATTTTTTGTGTCAGAACGACGGACTATATATCGCATCAATTCTTTCCATTCAGCTACTTGTCATTTTTCTCGAATTTTGAGATCGAACTTCTGTTGCCATGAGACTAAAGAATTAATGGACCAAATTTGACAAAGAAATTCAACGTAATAAAGGCAGTGTTTTTTAGAGGGAAAGTATCGCATTCGATATACTGATATCGAAACTGCACTCAAATGCGATATTTTCCCTCTGAAAAAACCTTGCCTTTAGTACGTTGAGTTTCTTTGTCAAATTTGGTTCATGAATTTAGAATGGTCTCATGACAACAGAAGTGCGATCTCAAGATTCGAAAAAAATGACAAGTAGCTGGATTATAGAATGAATTAATGCCATATATCGCACGTCGCTCTGACACAAAAAATGGCAACCGTCGATTCACTATAAACAGCTCAATTCCTTCGTATGCCTCACGCCGTGAATCGCCGGTGAAATCTCCTTCAAATTGATGGATACCTCCTTGCATCACGACCATGCTCGAATAGTTGCTTTTGCAAAAACCTGAACGATCGATTGAACTGCTCTTGCCGTAAGAGGATTGCATTTTGCAAAAAGGAACCAAGAGTATTCCAATGTTGCTAAGATTGCGTACCTGACATTCATTCAATAAAATTACTGAAATCATGCAACAAATTTAATTTACAAAGGTGATTTTTGTCTTTAAGTTATAGTTTATTGAGAGTACAGATAAAATTTATTTGGATAATCTGTGTATGTTTGCAATGCAAACAGAGTTGCACAATCTTAGCGACATTGGAATGCTCTTGGTTCCTTTTTGCAAAATGTGATCCAATTATAGATCGCCTTCAGTGACAAGACAACATGAAGAAAAGACAGCCGTAGGCTGAATTTTGAAAATGATGGACAAAGCTATGAACAAAGAGGTAGGAGAGAAAATGGACCGAGCCCTATGGTTGAAACTGGTTGTTGTTTTGGACCTAGGGGGATAATGGTCTCTCATGGGTTGCCACGCGTTAGTTAGTCCCTCATAGTCCATTATGACCACTCACTTCCACCGATAAGATCGCTCCATATTCTTTTTATCTCATTTGTCTACCACTTTGTCTATAGATTTCAAAGATCAGCGTATTGATGAACACAAACTCAGCATGTTCTACCTCACAAAACTATACACTTCATACATCATTGCATTATTGCCCCAAGACCCTTACCTCCGATGGTGAATGCAGCCCATCGGTGGCGAGGCGTGATTGATCGATTATCGATAATTCCCCATTTGAAGTTGTGGTAAAAGATCGATGATTAAGGTTTTCGTTGCGAACATCCTGTTTATCGATTCTTTCCCACAGGTTTAAATGGCAGATCAATCGGTATGTCTGTCGCAGGCAAACGGTCAAATCAGGCATTTTATCAAATGCATAAGCAAATATTCAAATGACAGCTTCCGCAATTCTGTAAATTTATGGCGCAGAGTTCACGGGGTTACAATATTTTGGGAAGAATGACTCTTCAAATCCGCGAACTCTCCTTGTTCCTTCCTTTTTACATGCCTTTAGTACATTTAAATATTAAAATTTTAAAAATTCTACGTCTTATGTCGTGCTGAAAATTTCATGATAAATGTGCATTCAGGATCTTAAAATCGTTTAAATACTATTGTATGCCGCAATTTTTACAGAGAATTCTTTCTAACAGGAGCAACGAATTATTTTGTCTAAAAGTGGAGTGAAAAATCAAAATTTAAATCAAAATTTTAAAACTAAGTAAGAATATTTGACTATTTGCCTCGGCATTTGAAAAAATGCCTGATTTGACTATTTGCCTTCGACATATCAGAAAGCACGCCACGCCACAGTAGCCTATGACCGGCGAGCATAAAATTATCGAATGCTGGCATCTTCTGAACGTTCATACGGCGTAATTCCAGGCAGGCCTTCCAAGGAGGATTGGGGTGGCTTGAGAAATGGAGGCTACCAGGTGTCGCAGCTAAGTTTTCATCTTTGAGTGCCACCTTTCGCTGATGATTTGTGCTTTGCTGTTAACAGCGGAGGCGTTGGCAAGACGTGACGAGCAGTGCTTTTGAAAGGGGCTGATGTGAATTCTTCCGAACGGCGCACGGTGGATCGAGTCAATATGAGAAGCCGGACAAAATTTGGAAACTTTAAGAGCTTATAACTCAGTTTATACACAAATTTGAGGGTCTAAAAGTGGTTTCGTTGGTTTCCTCGGGAAACTATCTTCTGGAAGCACCCCTCAAAATTTGAAATGTGACGAAAGTAAAGTTAAAATTTGCAATTTTAGTCAAAAATTTCGTGTCCGACCTCTCTGATTCACAATTCACTGTGCGGCGTCGTAAGTCGCAACCACATTCGAAAGGTATCTCTACGTACCCTACCTGCCTAGTGCCTCGCTATTCCGGTCTGAATGATGATCGTGTTTTAGATTTTAACCTCGTTTCCGTGAGAGGAGATAGCGATTTGACTGCTGCAGAACTTCACTGCCATCTTTTTCCCGCCATTCCGGCGCGTTTGAATTTCCTTCGAGTCTTTCGAATTTTTCAAAGCAAGCGAGCGTGCGTTCGCGATTTCGGCTCCGTTTTGTCCGATTCATGTAACCGCTCTCTTGGTTTCGGGAACCGTATTCTCGGCTCATGCAACCGAGCATCCAAACCTGACAGAACGAACGAAAAAGCTCGGTTGCATGAACCGAAGATACGGTCCCAGAGCCGAGAACGGTCACATGAAACGAACAGTTCGGCTGATGTTGAACACCGTGCATTCGGTTCATAAGACCGAAATTTTTTCTCAGTGCATGTCAGACTTCTTTAAAGTTTGTTACATTATGTGATGTCAGTCAACCAGGGTCGCCACAGAATTTAGAGAATGAAATTCCCTGATTTCCCTGAAACGTTTGCCGAAATTCCCTGACAGTTGAAGATGTGACGGATGGTTACGAAGGCATAACTGATAATAGGTTTCGGGCAAAATTTGTTGTTCGAAACCTTAAACCCATTCTAGAAAGCAAATAAAGGTGATTTAACAAATTTTCCCTGACATGTTCGTCATTTTCCCTGATATTTCCCGCTTTTCCCATCCTTTTTAAAATTCCACACAGAAGACACAGAATTTAGAAAATTCAATTCTCTGACATTTCCCTGATTTCCCTGACACATTTTGGTGAAATTCTCTGACGATTGAGGATGTGACAGACGGTTAAGAGGACATAATTGAAAATAGTTATCAGGCAAAATTTCTTGTTCAAAATCTCAAACCCATTCTAGAAAGCATTTTAACAAATTTTGATAATGGACCACTAGACAAGGTACGAATTCAAGCAATCTGACACATGTTTCTTAACCAGAATTTCACGTAGAACACGATTCGCGCAACGAAAATTACTGAAACCAGCTCCTGATGAAGATATTAACCTTTTTATTTCACATTGGTTACGCGAATTTTGAACTGCCCGCTCACAAGAAACTCAAAGCTCTACGTGAGTCAAATCGCGCACCACAACAGTTTCATCTAGCCTCTCAATCGATCACTGTTCATAACCCACCATGTGTTGTACAAATTATAAGCAATTTGCTATAGCTGAGCCCGCAAGCGTCAAAATTGAGGTTGCCAGATTTTTATATCGTAAAGACTGTCATGATAATGTTCAGCCCGCGATGTGAATCACGTAGAGCATTGAGTTTTCATGAGCGGGTGGTTTGAATTTACGCATCAAGAATCATTAAATAGCTTCGTAAGGAGTTGATTTTCGTAATTTTCGTTGTGCGCATTGTATTCTACGTGAAATTTTAGTTGACAAACATGTATCAGAATGCTGAAATTCGTACCTTGTCTAGTAGTCCATTGGTGATTTAACAAATTTCCTTGACATTTTCGTCATTTTCCCTGACATTGCCCGCTTTTCCCTGACTTTTTAAAATCTCCCGACATTTCCAGGTTTTCCCTGTTTTCCCTGACTGGCAACCCTGGTTTTCCTCGACGCGATCTTCGGATCGATTCGTACGTCGAGACGTCGTCGCCACGTCACGGGTTCGGCAACGCGGCGCCCGGGGCGCGCGGCGAATTAGCGTTAATAGCCAGGACGCGGGCGGCGCATCGAAAGAGTCGGTGGTTAATTTATTAATGGAAATGACGCAATTATGAGCGCTCGCCGCCGCCGCCCCCGCGCGCAAACAACACCCGTCGCGCCACGGGCTCTCGCCGTGCAGTTGCGGGCTTCTCCGCCACTACACCGGGAACCCTTTCACTACACCCCTCCCCCTCCTCCCCCTCCTCGGTGGAGCACTCTCCTTGAATTATCGTCGCGGGGCTCCATAACTGCAACCCCCCCCCCCCCCCCCCGGCTCGTCGTGATCGGGAACCCTTTGAAACCTTAAAATTAACTTTTTACCGCTCCGCCCCGTGCATCGACTCATGACGTCGTCCCTTTGACGTAACGTCGTATCTCCACCTTCGCATGAGCCCCAGGAAGCGTGGATATATATATATATTCATCCGTACTATATATATATACCCTTTATATATATAAATATATATATAATGCAGAGCAGGGCTCACGTGGAAATTGAGATACACGTTTATGTCGGAGAGACGACGATAATGGAGCCCGAGGAAGGTTTTACGGCGGTCGAATGGAACGTCAAACTTTTTGGGGAACCACATGATGCGTTTTCTGAAAATTTCCTTTGTTTTCCGCGGGGTCGGTTCTGCTGCCTTTGAGGTAGCATCAAGTGATGGTTTACATGAAGATTAATGTGACAGTTTACCGGGGAAGAGGACTGAGGGTTTTATCCGTACTGCCGGGATGAGGTAAAACGCTGTAAGAACACTCGACAGTTCCCAAATTTCCTTTGATAAAG